TCTTCGGAGTGTTTCACACCCAGAAGCCAAGTTTTATGATTCTGCTCCCAAGATGGAGACCTGTGAATGCAGGCATCAACTTTAAGCATTTGTCCTGAATATCTGAGCAGGGGTGTAGCTATTCACATACCTCCACTCAACACCTCTACAGACAACCATACCTACAAATACAAACTCAGCACATGCCTGTGTAAGTAGACACACGTATGTATACAAGGAGCACGTGTGGATACATCCCATACATACCGATCTGGTTTGCTTTCTGTTGCCATGATAAAGACTGTGACCAAAAACAACTTGGGGAGGAAAAGATTTATTGCATCTTATAGTTTATAGTCCGTTTTGGAGGGAAGTCGGGTCAGAACTCAAGGCAGGAACTAAAGCAGAGACCATGGACAAAAGCTGCTTAGTGCCTTGTTCTTGGTGGCTTGCTTTATTTGCTTTCTTATACCTCCCACGCCACCTGCCTAGGGGTAGCACTGTCCACAGTGTGCTGGGTTCTCCAATATCCATCATTAATCAAGAAAATGCCCCCTACAGATTTGTGGGCAGGTCAATCTTATGAAGGTATTTTCTCAATTGAGGCTCCTCTCCCCAGATAATTCTAGCTAGTCTCAAGTTGAGACAACAAAACAAAACAAATTCCAAAACTAGCCAGGTTTCATAACTACACACGTGCACATACAGATGCACACGCACATATAAACACGTGCATATTGGCAGTCGGTGCACATACACACATGTGCGTCTGTGCACATGAACACAGAAGCACATGCCTGTGCACAGGTACACTCACATTCACACAGGGTCTTTGTGCAAGATTGTCCCATGGCCATTTACTTCTCTTTGTGCCCTCAGGGACTGTGCCAGCAGCTTTGGGGAGGTTTTCATCTTTTCTCTGCTACCTGCAGAGGTCTTTAGTTAGCCTCAATGAAGGGCTCACTTCCTATCCAGGGCCAAGAGTTCACGTCTTCTTGAGAAGACAGGATGAGGGGGCATGAGAGGAGATACACCCTAGGAGAGAGTCCACCACCAATACCCGAAGGCAGGAGCCTGCCTGCACACCTGCTCCGGTCTCTCCCTCTGCTAACCACACCCTCTCTCCTTCCTCACTTGGTTCCAGATGCCCCTTATCAGCAAATCTCATGCACTCAGCTTCAGTTCTCTTGAGGCCTCAATACTTGCCCTTTGTCCAGCTCCAGGACCAGCCACCATGCCTGGGATAGAGCTGGTGCTATTTTCCCTTCTCTTGCTGATGTGCCTGAACTTCCTTCTCACATGTCCCCCAGCCATGCGTCAAGGAGCAAGCCCTGTAGCCTTTAACTACTCATGAATGAACAATTTCCATTGTTTCTTTATTAATCAGGAGCCTCATATGAGGTACAGGTGTCTTAGCTACAGGCAGTCACGAAACCATGGCATTTCTAGGTCTCCACCACTCTTTCCCATAACAAATTCACAGCACAGAGCCAGGCTAATGTATTAAACCAGCTAATGAAGAAAGGCCTTGATTGAAGTGGATTTGGGCAGTAAACGGCACATTGTTCTGTTTTTCACCTTTAGTTTGACTCTATGTGATTCCTATGGCATGGTTGTCACTGATGACTTCCACCCTTGGAAGTTAAGCCATGCAGTTGACAGCTCACTTACTGAGGCAGGAGACTGGGGAGGAAGGAGTAAAGAAATTATTTCAGTGTTTATACATGGTGAAGCATGGCCTATTCCAGGAAGCAGAGCCCATATGGAAGCAGAGGAGGGAGAAGCCTTTCCTATGACTCCTCAAGAGTCATAGGTCTTTACTTCTGAAGATTCCGTTTCTTCATTTGGAATATGGAACATGAGTATCACATAATGATTATCTTTTTTTGCTATGTTATCACTCACTAGATTTTTTTCTTGGTAGTACTGGGGGTGGAAGTTGGGGCACTCTCCCACTGCCCAACTAGATTCCTTCCTTTATCCCTCCCTCAACTCTTCTTTATCTGTATGCTGTTTGTGTGTGTGTGTCCACATGTGTTCTTATTCATGTGAAGTTCAGAGGTTGATGTCAGTGTCTTCCTCTATTGCTCTATTGCTTCCTCTGTTATCTTACTGTTGGAGGTAGGGTCTCTTGATGAACCTGGTGCTCATGGATTTGGCTAGACTATCTGCCCAGCAATCTCTAGTGATCCTTTTATATCTACCTCTCCAATGGTGGGACTATAAACATGTGCCTGGCTTTTTAAGAGGGTCCTGTACTTGAATCACAAGCACTTGGACAATGGAGGCATCCCAGCTTCACATATTTCTTTCTCAATATGTTCCCTTTTTACATGAAATGACATTATTTAGCCAGATGGTGGTGGTGGTGTCTTTAATCCTTGCACTTGGGAGGCAGAGGCAGGTGGATCTTTGAGTTCAAAAGCCAGCCTGGTCTACAAAGTGAGTTCCAGGACAGCCAGGACTCCATGGAGAGATCCTGTCTGTCTCAAAATACAGAAACAAAAACAAAACAAAACAAAACAAAACAAGCAAGCAAACAAACAAAAAAACCCAAAAGAAATGGCATTGGTTAGACATTCAAAATCTGCTAACGAGCATTGGCCTATTTGATTTATGTACAACCTCGAAGTAGATGTAATATTTTTGTTGGTGTTGTTCAATCAAGAAAGATATACATGAGACAGAAAGAGAGAGAGAGAGAAATAGATAATGAAACAGAGTGAGCTCCCATTCAACTAGATATTCTTTGAGGCTTCCACCAAAGGTAAATTAGCTTGTCCTTGAATGTGAGGTTTATATAGAGTAGAAACATCTTTTTTTTTTTTTTTTTTTTTTTGGTCTGAACTTTTTACTTTGGTCATAATTAATCTCCTTAGATACAGTAGATGCATCTTCTTTGTTTATAGATGGAAATATTGGGACATATTTGGCCAGATCAGCAACGAATCCAGAACCAGATCCAGAAAATCTCCTAACATTGAATTCAAAGTATTAATTAACCAAAGAACATAATAACACAATGATTATTAAGTATTTGGGTTTTAATCACAGGCTCTGCTAACAAGATGAGAAGAAAAGGAAATTTCAGATATAGATGGATATCTTCAAATATTCTTTAAAAAATAAACAAAAGAGCTTGACTGAAGCCTGTTATTAAAAGCCCCACCTTTCCTGTGTCTCTCACCAAGCAGGGTGCTTCCTTACTCTGCTGTCCAGGTTGCAATGGCGTTCTCCACCCAGAACGGGTTGTCAGCTTCATTGAGAAATTGTTGCTTAAGTATTTATTGAGGCCTCTGTATTTTTCCATCACGAAGAAGAGATTGCAATTCTTCTTCAAGAGGTTTTCAGGAAGAAAATTACCTAACTTGAGCCTTTTTTCTTTTCATGCCTCTCTACATTTGAGGCTCTCTAAACACAGGGTGGGAGTCAGGGTGGAATGCCAAAGGGTCTGGGTATTTTTCTTTTCTTTTTTTTTTTATTTTTATTTTATTTTTCTTTTTAGTTACATTTTGTTAACTCTGTGTCCCAGCTGTATCCCGCTCCCTCATTCCCTCCCCAACCCCACACTCCCTCCCTGGTCTCCTCCCTGCCCCTTTCCAAGTCCCCTGATAGGGGAGGACCTCCTCCCCTTTCATCTGACCCTGTTTTATCAGGTATTTTTCTAGAAGCACTTTAGAGATGCATTTGACTGGTTGAATCAGAGACAGGTGGAATTTGGTGAGTTTCTCAGGAAGAGAATAAAGCAGCTTGCTTCTAAGGTATGATAAGGGTGGAGGAAGGAAGAGGAATCTTTAGAGATCAAAAGGGGGCTTACTTGAAATTCATCTTGGACACCTTATGGCAAATGTCCACTCACAAGCATTGTTCCCACCCCTGTGAAGCCTCAAAGGCTACCCCATAGGGTTGAGGTCTTGGTCTAAATGCTACTGCTCCAGGTTGTGCATGGATAGGTTTTATTCCAGAGGGTAGGCCACATTCAGAAGGCCATGGCTTGGGTGTGCCAGGTGGATTAGTATGGTTAGGGCTGATACAGAAAATCCAAAAAGGTTAAGTTCCTATCACAGCTGTCCTATCCTTGGACTTTTCGGGGCACATTGTCTTCCAGTGCCAAAGTGGCACCCAGGCAGGACTCTTCGATCTCAGTTGTTTTCCTCCCTGTGAGTGGAATGAACATCTCTCATCTCCAATGGAGACTTCCCAGAGAGCATTGGACTTAGCTGCGGAATTGTGGGACTCACTAGGGGAGATAAGAAGCCTTTCCTCTCACCTGTAAAATCACGCTTCACAAATTTGTTTTTATAAACAATGCCTCAGCAGCTGCATGACAGCCAGAGCTTACTATCTGGATTCTAAAGACAGTCTCATCATCTCTCCTTGCCCTGGACTATGCGTGGAATGAAGGCTACGGCTAAATCCAGGAAGACTTGGTGCTTCTACTTCCCCCTTTCCATCAACCTCACTCTTAGGGCAGTGCTAATCCGAATCCCCTTAAAAATTGCAGAGCGCCCCAAGGTAGCTTCAACACCTCTGTCTCTCCTCAGTGAATTTCTGTGAAGTTGGGGAAGCTGGGAAATCACCAGCTTGCTCAAAGCCTCTATGAAAAGCAGCCACGGGGAAAATGTGCCCTAGGCAGGTGTCCATGCAGTGGGGTGGTCTGGTCATCAGGACCAGGAGAGGCTGGTAGGCTTTGTCCCGTGCCCTCCATGCTACTTCCTATCGATTTACCCACAGGGCTTCTCACCCATTGACATTACTTCATTTCTCGTCTGCATCTGTCCTTCCCTGGGAGGAGCATCTTGCCTGAGGGCAGGTAGAGGGTGGGGAGCCTCCTCCCTTTGCTCCAACTGCAGAAAAGGAGGGGGTTCCCATGCCAGGGCAAGGCTACCTATAGCTCAGCCCTCCAACAGACACAGCCTCAGATCCCGGCAGCAGCCTTGAGCTCTGGACCAGAAGCAGTAGATTGACATCCGATTGACAGCAAGCTCAGAAGCTCTGTGTGGTACAGAGAAAGGACAGCCATGTCTCACGGGTTTTCTGAGGAGCAGGTGCAGGAGTTCCATGCAGCCTTTGATAGCGTTGACAAGAACAAAGATGGCAAAATCAGCAAGGAGGAGCTGGGTGATGTGATGAAAAAGATGGGCAAGCACCTCACAGAGGAAGAACTGAAGATGCTCATCTCCAAGCTGGACTCAGATGGTGACGGTGCCATCAACTTTGAAGAATTCCTGGCGGCAATGAAGAAGTTTAAGGACGGGAGCACAGAGCAGGAGATGCGGGCTGTGTTCAGTGTCTTTGACCAGAATGGTGACGGCCACATCACCTTGGACGAGCTCAAGCAAGCCATGGCCCAGCTGGGAGAGAAGCTTTCAGATGAGGAGCTGAATGCCATGATTCGTGAGGCCGATGTAAACGAGGATGGGAAGGTGAACTATGAGGAGTTTGTGCGCATCCTCACTGAGAAGTGAGACCGCCAACGTGCAAGCTCCACCCAGTCTCTTATCTGCCTGACTCTGGCTGGGACAAACCCCTGTGCCTTCTTGTCGGGTTCTGCTTTTGTGGTGGGGTTATAAAGGAGAAGTCTGTGTTGGTGTATGGGAAACTACCTCATAAATGAGGAGGACTTTACTAGTTCTAGATGCTGTGCCATCTGGGGCTGCCCACTAGTTCCCTTTCTGCCTGCTGAGACTCTGGGCAAAGGATGATCTCCTGGGGTTGGCCTTTCCTCTCCCTCTTGCTGTGGAATGGGTACTTTCTACCTCCCAGGGCTCTTGTAATGGTTTAAATAAAAGGAATGCAAATTCTGTGTGCTTGGTGTTTAATTAAAGAAGGGAATCTCGAGGGTTTCCAAAAACACATTCTTTGGAGCTGCAATGCCTTTCATAGAACTGCTGAAAGAGCTGATCTGAGAGGCCCTTTGGTATACCTCTTGCTCTCTCTAGTTTCCAAGGAGGAGGAAAGGTGAGTAGTGGTATATGGTGAGGGGAGGGCAGATGGAGGAAGCAGCTTTAAGAACTGCCTGAGACACTGGGTACCGGTACCTGGCCTGGGGTGAGCAGAACCAGATGTACTCTCACAGAGCCTGTTGTGCATTAACCTCAAATAAAAAGGAGGTGAAATTTTTTTCTGTATTTGTGCCCCTGGGCATGTCTATGTCTTTCGGCATAAGCCTGTCTATGTGTGTTTTGTATGTATGTGTTTGTATTGTCTCTGTATGTTCACATGGGTTTATAGGTGTGTGCCTATATGTGTGTATAGTGTGCATGTAGCTGCATGCATGTGTCCCTGTGTGTATATGTATGTATGTATGTGTTTCTGTGTATATATTTTGTGCATATATTCTGTATCTGAAATATATCATTCTACAGATTTTTTAAAATCTGTATCCATGTTATATTAAAAAAAATGACAGATATGTAGCCTGATGAGAAGTGATCAGGGCACATATATGATGGACAAAGGTGGGAAGTGGCACTGGAAGAGGAGGCAATGGCTGTTATAAGCAGAAGGTAGAGATACCAAAAAGGGGTTTCCAAAACTGATAGCAGGACATTCATGTCCCCACAGGATAGAATTCTACTGGCTCAGACTTCTGACTGTGGCTCCCTCTTGGCCTGGTGAGGCTCTGATGTTTCTTTCAAGGTTTCAGCTTCAGAGGTTCATTCCAGATAGAAGATGGGGAAGAACACTGATGGCTGAATGGTCTCTCCCATCTGCATCTGAGACAAGCAAGGTCACTATTTGAACTTGGGTGGGGATGCTGTTGCCTGGTTTTGAACACTATACAAACAGTCTTGCTTGCTATTCAATAAGCCAAGGTTTCGGCTTTCTCCTCCATGAAATGGGATTTCTCTCTCTCTCTCTGTCTCTCTCTCTCTCTTTCTCTTTCTCTTTATGAGCGAAATTTAAGCTCAAATCATCCATGATATTGCTCTTATCTTGTCTCATCTGTGCTAAGTCAGTGGCTCTCATCCAGGGTGGGGAGAGAGACAGAGCCAGCTTCTCTGAAGTGCTATTGCAAAATGCTGCAGCCAGCCATTCCTTCCACCCCCTCATCCTGGCACACCTGCGTGACACCTGTGGTTGTGAGTGGCAGAGCCTGCTTTATTCCAGTTTGAGCACAGAGCTAGTGGGGTGAGGGACCGGTCAAGTTCAGGAAGGGAAGTCTGCCATATCTATGAGGTTTCTTCGATTTCCCTCTGGTGGGATTACTCTGGGTTTACTCCAGTCTCATTGCTCTTTACACATTGCTACCTTGTCCTGCCCCACTCTGTCAGTAGATATCTGGCCTCTTTGAATACCTTCTAGCCAGCTGGGTGGAGGCCTGGTTTACAGGAGAGGGAAAGGCCTGCAGCTGGCATGAGGTGGTGCTGGGTGGGTGGAGTGGGCTGGAGAGGTCAGAAGCAGACTCCAGCCTCTCCCACTGTGCTTCGGAGCATGGGAGGGAAGTACTATGGGCAGAAGGGCATGAGAAGCTCTGGTGGAAGGTTGAGGCAGGGAAATGGGTCAGAGACAACCACAGGCTGACTGTCTAAAGTAGGGATTACTCTCTGGTCAAAGAGGAAATATTGCAAGGTTTTTGTGGCAAGATAAAATTAAGTATTAATAGACAAAATGGGCTGCAGATGTACTTGTCAGGAAAGCACTGTGTAGCATGGAGGAGGCCCTGGTTTTGATTCCCAGCACTGGATAAAATCCTGTGTGGTGGCATAGGGCTGCAAGCCCAACACTTGGGAGGCAGATACAGGAGGATTAGAAATTCAGAATCATCCCTGGCTACAGAGTAAGTTTCAGGCCAGCTTGGGCTGTATGAGACTGTTTCAAAATAAATGAAAACAGAAGAGAAGCTAGAGAAAAGCTTTGCATTCATTCAGTTTTTGTTCAAAACTCTGAGAATCTGCTGTTCCTGTGTTTTCAGTGTTGAATGTCTCTTCTGTCAGGAAGTTGTCATGATGCTAGAGGGTGTTTTGGGGTTTGGATTGGGTTTCTTGTGTCCTCAAATCTATTTTGAAATGTTATTGATCCATGAAGGCTAAATATCTGATAACAACTACTTGAACCTAATAAGGACAAAAATTGATTTTTAAAAAAATCTGCTTTATTCCTCAAATGTGAAGTTTTTTTTGTTTTGTTTTGTTTTTTTGTCTAGTACATGGGACTAATAAAGACAAAATTGAGCACTGCTTTTTCTTCTAGTATGAAGGAGAGTCTTAAGAGAAGGAGTGGGGGAAACACAAGATTTTCCTTAATGTTTTGCTTCCTGGTCTGAGTGTAGGCTATATGGATGTCAATTATTGTATTCTCTAGTCCATTTTAGACTAAAAATAATGCCTGAAGATCATAGAAGATGAGAAATTGTAGGGAGGCACTTAGAAGAAAATCACTCTGCAGCCTAAGCTGTACCTGGAGAGAACTAGATGGTAGTTTTTGTTAACTATCCATGCTCTCCCTGACCCTCATACTGGGAAAGCTAAGTTAATTTTTCAACTCTGAATCTACAACCTGTTGGATGACTGTTGGGGATAAAATGGCTTGGAATTAATTAACTAGGCATCCAGTCTTTGCAAACTGTATAACTAAAGAGCTGGACAGACTCAGGAAGAGCCGAAGAGCAAAAGTCGAGGCATTTGGTACAGCATTTTGCCAGCAGCAGGCGCTAGCCTGTGCTCGCCCAGGCTAAAGCTAGTTTTTTCGTTACAACAGTGACCCAAAGCCCAAACATTTTAACACGAAAACACATTGGAACTGAAATTATTTGGTCTCACAAGAAAATATGTTGGCTCCAGAACCTACCCCATGCTGGAATTGTACACCCACATCGCCACCCATCATTTATACAGTGCTGGGGTCAAACCCTAAGGTCTGTGCACACAAGCTAAACGCTCTACCTACTGGGCTTGGCTCCCAGCTTTTCTACATTTTATCATGCAGTCTGTGTTACGTAGGAGGAAACCTTCCCCTTCTCAGCTTCAGTGGCTGGCATTTATAAATTGTCAGAAGATAGATTAACTGGAAAGGCAATTTACTTTGCATCTATACAAAAGAGTCACCTAAAAAGAAGTAAAAACCCAAAGAAATGTTTAGGCTTGAGAGCTTAAATACTATCTTAACAGAGGGCTGTATATTGGATAAGACAAAGGAAACAAAGTCTGGGGTTCTGAGGAGAGTAGATTGTGGGAAGGTATGTATGTGGGAGAATCACTTATTAAGGTATGTTATGGCATTCAGACTCCACTCTTAGGCAGCCTGACCATGGAGCTGGATTAGTCCGGGTCTTCAGATGAGCAACAGCGAGTGTCCCGTCACAATCCTGGAGTGACATGCAAGTGGCCTAGTGCCATCTCTGCCTTTTGTAGGTAGGTGCTAAGTACTAGCAGTGGGCATTTGTGACAAGCCTTTCAATTGCATAATTACTACCTTGGGTGTTAAGGTGTTAGTCAGCTTTTCACTGTAACAAGAGATCTGTGACAATCAGTTTGAGAGAGGAGATCAAATTAGAAGAGGAACAGTTTATTTTGGGTTATAGAGTCAGAGTTTTCAGTCCATGCTCTCTGGGCCACATGTCTGTGGGCCTGGAGTGGTAAATTACATCATGGCAAAGCTACTTACCTTCCTATAGCCTGAGAGCAAATAACAAACTAGAAGAGGAGGTGAGGGTTCAGATGTCCCTCTAGGGGCACATTCCCCATGGATGGCCTAACTTCCTCCACTAAGCCCCACCTTTTAAAGAGGCAACCACCTCCCAATTGTGCCTTTAGTGCATGGATATCTGGGGAAGACATTTAAGATCTAAACAAGAGAGTGGAATTGGGTTGCACATAAATCCCTGGAGTTTGGGGTCACTCTGGCTCTATCAGAACATGGATCATTTCTTAGGAGTTAATTTGAATTCCCAGAGCCGCAGCCTCCTCTAGCCCTGTAACCTACCTGGTACTAAGGAGGCCCAGTGGCTATCAAAGCCGTGGCCTTGCAGCAGGAGCAGTGGAGGGGGGAGGGCATGACCTCTGTTCATACCTGCCAGCATTCAGGACGTGGAAGCAGAAGAATCAGAAGCTGGAGGTAATCCTCAGCTACACAGCCGCTTTAAGGCCATCCTGGGCTATAAAAAATAAAACTCTATCTTAAAAAGAAAAAATAAAGTATAAGGAATGATAAAATTTATCTTAGAGGAGTTATTTTTGATAGTTATTTGTAAATTTCTTTGAAGTTTTATTTACCCAGTTTAGATTTTTGGCCCGAGTTTAGCAGATTATTTTAACTGTAGTCAACTCACCTAACCATCGTTGCATGACCTGACCGATTAAAGTTTTCTGGATTTTTGTTTATTTGGTTTTGTACTTTGGATCTGTGACTTGGGGAAAGGAGAGCTGCTGGCTCATTTCGATGGATTTGCAATCTTCCTGGCTTCGATTGCTGAAACCTGCAATCGCAGGTGTGGACTCCCCTACCCAGCCCTTAAGGCCTGTCT